CGTAACGTAGTTAGTAGTCGTAAGTAACGTACGTACCTACCTACTACTCTACAACTATATATATATATATATATATATATATATATATATATGTTTTTGTGAACTAGTAATCGGAACAATTGAACAGGGGCATCCCATGAAAGTGCATAGAGATTGCTATTCAACTTGATGCACTAGAGGTATGGGTGTATACATGTTACAATGAACCAACTCGTGGGGTACACAGATTGGCTACAATCGCAGGAGTGCACAAGTGTGCTTGTGTATGTTTGGTTTAGAGTTTACCGTTGGCAAAGAGGGTGTTTGAGCATATCGAGCCTATATGAGTATATAATATATAATACAAGCTGGTGTGTAGTGTCGCGATTTTACAGCGATTGACTATGCGTCTTGTGTGGGCCCTCAAGCCCAATTATTCTGAACAGCATTCAAATGACATACGCAACTGTGCTGTATTGGGCTTGTCCGGTATTAATGTTCCGTGCCTAGAGGTGGCTACAACTTAGCGTGAACGCTTAACGCACAAACATGCATACGCTACACTCATGGTGTGGGACAGCTGTATTCGTAAGCGTTGAATCGAGTTGACATTAGAATACTGAGTAAATTAATATGACTGTCACAGATAGCGCGAAAGATGAAACCAAGAGCGTGTATATGCAGTTATTGAACGTTGGATGTGTGCCCTTATATTACATCAGGAGCCACTGCTGTTCAGCGGAAGTATCCGGCAGAATCTGGACCCAGCCAATGAATATACAGACGCACAAGTGTGGACTGCATTGGAACAGGCTGAGCTGGCGGACTTTGTAGGTGCCAATTATTCTTCAATAGCTCATTCGGTGCTGTGCAACGTACCTATCAATGGCTTTCCATGACCTGCTTGTGTGCCTGTGAAAGTATGACGGGCTGTCTTGATTTTCCTCATACCAAAGTAGACATCTCCTTCATGCTTGAATGTGAGTGGCTCATTTCCAAACTCTCATGGACATTGACGACACGATGAATACAAAAGATCACGCTAAACCACTCGCTGTATATATCACGTTCTCCTATCATGAGATTGAACTACGCTTGAGTTAGACAACGGTTCCTCAACGGCTGCATGATTCATGAACTCTGCTGTCCACGTCCACTTGATATACGAAGGTACCAAGTTTTCATCAGTGTCAGGTCGCGACTTTGATGTAGGCTCGACACCTTTACAGTGACAAATATCGAGATAGTTACCATACCTATATGTTTTGTACATTGTGACAGAAAGCATTTAAAGAGGCGCTTTCTGATATCAATCTCGAAATTTTACTCACGCACGCGCGCACTTCGAAATTCCCAGGTAATAAAGCTATAATATCGAATACCCTGTCGAACTCATCACCAGTCTGTATATAGTAGCGTATTCCCACAACCACATCGATTTCCCAGTTTACTTTAATAAGATGTCTTTAACTTTCGATACTCGGCGCAATCCCAAAACCCCACAAATCACTACTACAGATCCGAGTGCTGCCAAAACAGTTGCAGTTCTACATCGCAAAATTAGGTGCGAACATCAGTTTAGGTCAATTTATACAACTACTGAGCCTCGCACTGGCGATTCTCAAACAGCCCAAAATACTGTTGATGATCTTATGACGGATAAGCTCATACAGAAGGCTATACAGTTGCATTTTAGAAAAACTACAGTTATATCTATATTCAGTTATATCGATGGTATCTTCCCTTTTATCGAAAAGGCTCCCCACTGCATTGTTGCAATAAAACAGTCCTTGGAAATGAGCATCCGAGCTCTTGATATTGATACAGGGCAAACAATCGAAATACACGTTCCATATACGAAACGTCAGATATTTTCAAGGAGTAGCTACACTAATATTTGTACCAATACCGTTGAAGAACACGTATATACTGGACTGGAACGATCACGGTAATTTCATACATTCACGACATGCCTGCCGCCATTTCTGCGATATAGCATCCGCTTCTACGGGTTGGTGTGGGTCGATTCTTTCAAGCAAAGAAGAAATAGATAACTGTATTCTCCACGCAACCCGAGGATTATGTATCAACCGACATTCTTACCAACCCCAACCCACTATTCTTTCACTGCCAGCGACTTGTCAATCCTAATTCGTTTGCAACTTCTCCCAAAGTTTGTATTCATACCCGCGCATATGTAAATACCAATGTATGTACCTGTGTATTACTAACACGCATATATACAAATGCACATACACGCATGTACACGTTCAGGTTGCCCATCGATTGGGCACAGTGATTGATACTGACCGCGTTCTGGTTATGGACCAAGGCTTGATCGCTGAGCAGTCTATCTTCTACGACATGGTTCACCAATCAGGGTCAGCCTCGACGTTGATAAAAGACGCCAATTCTGCGCGAGAGAAGCGATTGAAGACTGCACAGGCGAAGGACGAGGGCATGGGGGCGAATAGGATGTGGTCAATTATTGAGAACTCGACAATAGAATCGAGATGAATGATGTGCTGGCAGAATAGAATACTGGCTACAAGTGTCAGAATGAGGTATTAAAAACTCAACATTTCTTTAAATACAGTACAGTACACCAATTATATGAATAAGTACGCAAACATTAAGGTAATATCCAACTCTAAAAGTTCACATGATACATAGATACATTTTCGATGTAGAATACTCGTAAATATAACATGCATACGCAAGTTTATTTTACATATAAGATTTTCATGTAGTAAAAACAGGTTGCTTGATTTTCAAACCCAGAGAAACAGCGTGGAAAATAGAAATGCAAAAGGAAAGTAAAGTATATTTGACAGCAAATGTTGGCATGAGAAGATCATATATACTAGTATTGTACTATTAATTACTTAGCTACGAACTTCCTGAATTTCAATGATAAACTATCCACCAGTTGCCTATGTCATGGCCTTTTAATGGTGAACAACTACTTATTTTTTTTTAAGTTGTATACATCAATGATTTCTATATGAAAAATACTATCAGTCAGATATCCTTGTTGACATTTCTGTGTGAATAGTATTGATTCGTTGTCAGCAAGGATGGTGCGAGTAAAGGTTTCCACGCACCCTCTTTGTACGCTTAACTACATGCTGGCAGGTTCTACCAATACCGCAGCCGAACCACAGGACAGCAATAGTCTGTGTTTCCTACTTTCCAAAACGTCTAGCACATCCCTGTGCTGTGAAAACACATTCATGATAAGACTCTGATCAATCAAAGCCGCTATATATGCACGTGCAGACGATAACAGATCACACACTGCATCCCCTGCTAAAACATTTGTAGCTGGGAAGTTTTGTGCTTCCTCACCGAACTCGCGCAATGGCTTCAAAAGCCGGGACGGCAAGTTAACAGGGTACATCGCACCAACTACCACGTAGTCCTGCAGTACAGTTTGCACGCGAGCGTTAGCTGCGCTCGTGGCCTCTAAATCTCCATTACGCAAGCGCTTTGCTTGCTCCGACCCTGCTCGTCCTCTGAGATCCCTCGTATCATGAAAAAACATGAAGTTCTCGTCCATGTATCTGGCCCGTGCTATTCTGAGTAGAATGGGGTACAGCTCGTCATCGTCTAGGATGGAATCCAGACGTCCACGCGGATCTACCAAGTCATACGCCTTACAGATAAGTTTGTTCTGGCCGATGATACAGCTTTTCAACCCGAAAAATAATGCAAATTCGTTCCACAAATTGGATCCAAACATCTCGAAGATAAGTTGCCATACAAGAATCATCGTTTGATTGTATCGAATGAATGCCCTGCCATCAGGAAACTGGTAGTACAGTATTATGCCAATGCTAAATAAGATCACCTGCATAATCATCATCCGCACAACATTTTCGAAGTCTACGAACAGCCGAACAGCACTGCCCATTCTCACCACATACACCGCAATCTCGACGAGCGTTGTCATCCCGTATGTGATTGCACCCCATTTTATCATCCACGTGTACTTTGGGAAGGACACGGTCACAGCGACAATAAAGGGAAGCTCCTGGAATACCATTACCATTGAGACGGCCTTGAGCAAGAATATCTTGTAGCTGGGTGTATAACTGCCTTTGATAAACATCACGTACATAAGCCCCACGCGATTGGACATTGCAGCCCAGATCTGTCCGACAAGGAGAAGCTCGATACCAAGCATGAACTTGATCCCATGTATGCGTGAAGAATACTGCACTGTGAGCATGTTAGCCACGTATGTCAGGGGTGGGATCACTAGCAAGCAAAAACTGATATGATATATAAAAGCCTTCAGTTTGCAACGAAAGGCAGATGTATTCCTACGATTATATATCATAATCAGAGTGGTGTAGCTGAAGAATGTGGTGATTGCTGCAATGACCGAGAAGTAGATATACATGTCGTCATTGGCTGGTTTCTTATATAGCAGCGGCAGATTTCGCGACGGTCTATCGTTAGCTAGCTTTGCAGCCAAGTATGTTGTCCCGATGATAAATCCGATCACAGGTAAGTAAAAGATCAAGAGTATCAGTATATTCCTCCTGATAATGCCACCCCCTGATTCGTGGTCATCCCTTTGCTCCACCTCCATTGCTAATGCACGTACTGCTTCTAGGCCTTTTGATACAACTGTACCTTTGACATTGTCACTTGATTCGGTGGGCAACCCGTGTTTGAGATTACATACAGATATATCCGCTGAAAAACACGTGTGTTGCGACACCTTGTTGATTGTGACGGCAGTGGTTGACACGGCGGCCTCGCCTTTTCGTTTTAATTTAGTCATCCTGTATTGTTATTTGGATCGTTATGTGTTGGAATTGAAACTTCAACCAATAATGAATGTCACATGCTTTGCGGAGACACTTATTGTGACTGTCAATATGCCCGTGGAAGTGTGGTATATGTACTTTTGAAAATATACGGTAAATGAGGGGATAAATAGAATACCCCAGAGGGCCCAGAAACCTCTCATTATGTACCAGAGTGTAAAAATTTTGTTTTTTTAAAAAAACCAAAAACAAAATACAACACTAAAAAAGTATTTTATTTTAAAAGAAAACAAAAACAAAAACAATTTAATTTTTCTTAAAAACAATTGAGACGTTTATACGGCACTGGTGACAATTAAATTATTAAGCACCTCAGGCCCAGTTTCCACATTTTTTTTTGGAACTCTGGACCGAAACGTGAACCAAAATTTAAGATGCACTTTTTTGAAAACCCAAAATTAAAAATTAACGTAAAAGAAAACGAACAGTCGAACCCCCCCCCCCCCCCCCCTAACCAACAACCCAAAAGAAGTGGAAGTCTGGACCCAAACGTGAACCAAAATTGAAGTTGCAGTTTTCAACCATCATGAGGCGCGCTTTCGCAAAACAAATAAGGGTACGAAAACCATAAATAAAAAAAATATACATTTCCCCCTCCTTTCATAGCTTTGGTTCCCTGCCGACGTCAGCGGAGTTTTATTTACAGAGATATTTGATTATATTTAAAACAAAAAACAAAAAATGTTACGTTTCGTTTGGTTTATATATAAAAATTTTGGAAAACCAAAACCGAAACAAAATATTTAAAAAAAAGGTAATTTCATTTCCATCTTAATGGCTAACAAGAAACTTCCTCTGGCTCATTCTGAATAAATAGAACTCATATCTACTCCGGAATGCATTCCTTTACTCCTCAAACGCCCATTTTGTGATTGTCCTGCACAGTGCACAGCTGTTGAACTGAACGCATATGTGACTTGACCTGACCTAGGAACACATACAAATAAACATAAAAGTGCATATTATTATTTTCACCGGTTTATACATGTATTAACTATTTTAGGAAATTAGGGTTTTAGGGTTTTTTTGGGTTATAATTAGGAATATTATTACTTTATAAAATATGCCATATTTATGAAAAATATATGGCATATTTATTTCATACATTATTTTCCTAAAAATATATTTCGTTCATTTTTCATATTTACTATTTTTCTAAAAATATATATATTACATATTATTATTTCTCTTGTATATTTCCACATATTATACTTTTAAGAGCATATTAATATTATGTATTGACATAGCTTGCTATTGAATATGAGTGACGATAGTTAACACTAAAAGTTACAAACACATTGATAAACAGTCCTTGTGTATGCACAACACATACGCACAACGTAGCATAGTAATCTACTAAGTGTGAACATATATATGAAGCTTACACTTGGTTTATGTACACTAAAAAAGTAAAAGGTCTATAGTCTATATAATAAATAAATCATGAGTTATATGACATCTAAACACACATTTTTATAATGATATTATTCTGAGTCATATAACTCGACAGAGATCATTTAACAGTGAAGCAGGAAGATGTACAGATTAAGCTGCACTTGAATACTGTGCACTGGGGTGGCATATTTCGGCATGTGGGCTTATGTTGTCACTGTATACAAGTCAAATAAACTAACGATTAATGTGTTTGACTTGTGTGTATAATATATGTGATTGCTTGTCAGTATTTCAGCACCACAAATATAAAACTGGGTAAATTTTTTTTTGCCACTTTTTTTTGTTACAGAAATTAATCAATTCTCAAATTAGTAACAATTTGTCACCTTAATTGAAAAAGGTGGTCAACATGCATCGAGCGGAAACAGGTTAAATTGCAACTGACACTATACTACTGGTACGATAGCTCTGAAATTGGTAACAGAGCTCAAGGACAATACTATTGATAGGTGTGAACAATTATTTGTATGCCTGTGAATTATGAAGTTCACAATGTCCCTTCTGGCAGGATTTGTGACAGATGTTGATTACGTCTCCCGTGACCAGGATGCGCTCAGGAGACAAAATATCGAACTGGCATGTATTGTGAAAAAGCGTTTTTCGGGTATCACCCGATTACAATAGTGTCAAAAAGAGTGTCCAACGTGTGCGTTTATAATTTTTGATATTATTTCGTCCTATTTGGTATAGTTTAAATTACAGGGTCTTTCACGCATACTTGCGAAGTTACACAACTATATATATGGAAATATACGTCCACGAAAACACAAATATATATACACAGACAATAATATATATATATATATATATATATATATGTACCAAATATAGTATATGTCAGAAATATGTCATATGTACAATATACATATTCACGAAATATA